CTCAGAGCAGGAGGATCAAAGTCTCTAGTACATAGTCATGTGCCCCATAGTGTAAATATGGTTCAATTCACAGTTATATCATAAACTGCGAACTACTAGGAACACTATGCTATTGATAAAATGGTCACTGCCTCCATGAATCTTTACATCATGGTTTAAAGTTTTAGATATTTTTGTACCTACCCACCACTCCCAGCTGATCACAGCCCTGGTGACAAGAGAAACATCATGTATTTTATTCACTGGTTTTGTTTGGTCTCATAAACCAGCGGTCCCCAACTTTTTGGCACCAGGGACCAGTTTCATGGAAGACAATTTTTCCACAGACTGGGGTGGAAGAGATGGTTTTGGGATGATTTAAGCACACTACATTTATTGTGAAGTCAAATCTCTCTGCTAATAATAATCTATATTTGCAGCCACTCCTCAGCACCAGCTTCACCTCCTCAGCTTCACCTCAGATCATCAGGCATTAGATTCTTATAAGGGAGCCACAACCTAGATCCCTCGCATGCACAGTTTACAGTAGGGTTCTTGCTCCTCTGAGAATCTAATGCCACCACTGATCTGACAGGAGGCGGAGCTCAGGCAGAGATGCGAGTGATGGGGAGCGGCTGTAAATACAGATGAAGCTTCTCTCAACCACCATGTACCTCCTGTTGTGTGGCCCTGTTTCTAACAGGCCATGGACTGGTACCAGTCCACAGCCTGGGGATTGGGGATCACAATCACAAACTATTAATAATTTGGTTCTTGGTGAGTGATGCGAAGGAAGGAAAGAAGGAAAGGAGAAAGGGAATGAGGGAGGAAGGGAGCATAGGAGGGCCAGAGGAAAGAAGGAAGAAAAGGACGGAGGGGAAGAGGGAGGGATGAGGAAAGGAGGAGAGGAGGAAGAAAATAATCAGAGTGCAAGTAAGAAATTTCTCTCCAGGTCTCTCTTGACTAGAAGGCCACCAGGCCCCCGCCTTATTTCTCCAAACATCCTGGAGATATATCCACCTCAGACTCCTGCTGTAATCCCAAACTCAAACCTCTCTAAAAAGAGATTTCTACCTGATTTCCTGATCTCATTCAACATAATTCCATGTCCCTACTTATTAGGAAAGTCAAAGGCATCATCCTGACTAATCCATATTCTCCATCTTGCACAGACAATGAATTGCTAAATCTTGAATATATTCCTATAAAGTCTCTCTTAATCCATTTTGTACTCTCAGCCCCACTGCCAGCAACTGATCTCTCCTCTTCCCATGCTCTTTCAAATAGGTTAAAGGAGAGGGTGGAACCAGATGTGTCCTAGGAAGGGACAGACACACTGAGACCTAGAGCCCCAGAGTCTCTAACCCAATGACTGGTTCCTTGGAGATCCCCGGCTTCTCAGTGGGACTCAGCCTGAGGAAAGGATGTGCCTTGGGAAAGCTTCATCTCATCCACTGGCAGAAAGGGGCCACCTGGGAGCTCCAACAGGGCCACCCTCAGAGGGACCAGCAAGGACAGAATGCTAGGAATAGGTCTCACCCATCCTGCAAGTGTAAGAGGCTCCACCTGCTTCTCCAAGAGCCATATCACACCCCAGCCCTGGGTTCACCCTGGAAAAGGGCCCTCATCACAAGTTCCTCCTCTGGTCTGACTCCACAAGGAGGAGTTCTTGTCTGAAACCAGGGAAGCTTCTCTGCAGCAGGACTCACAAGTCTAAGAAGAAAAGATAGGAGTGAAGAACAAAGAAAAGAGAATGGAGAATAGAGAGAAGTCCTGACAGAGAAGGAGCCAGCACTGGAATTGTATAGCTTTAAATGGCAGAGCAAAGCGACTCCTAGCCCAGCCACTGTTCAACTGCTGATGTCTGAGTTTCTACAAGTAGCTGGGAGCCCAGCCCAGACCATGTAGATATACGGATGTACATACATAACTAACTTTCTCTATTTGCCTGGAGAGAAAGGGGTCTTCTTAAAAAACTTAACCTGGGTAAAATATTTTCTTTCTGATACTTGTTTATCTCACCCATATATTGTCTACATTAATGTGATTTTAATTTCAAAATACAAAATGTTTAAATATTGTTTGGTGCATCTGAATAGATGCTGAGTAGACCCTGCCGAGATAAGCTGTCAATGAAACCATCAGCCATACCAAACGACCACCCAAGTGCCCCACCCCTAAGACACTCCCCAGGTACCTTTCAGAGTTACCATCTTTGTCCAGCTCCAGCCCACTTAGAGTCTCATCTTGCCATAGCTCCCGCTCTAGGGGAAGCTACTGCTTGAGCTGACCTGGGTCCTGCAGGTCCCACCAATGTCACCACCAGAGCTCCTACTGTCATGGCGGTGCAGTAGTCAGTGGGGGAAGTGGGGGTTTCCAGCTGCTGTCACAGATCCAGTGACTGCTGCTGACCTGGGCCTGGAAGACTCAGAAGAGCACCATTAGATGAACCAACAGTCTAAGAGACAAGTATCTTCCCCGGCCACAACCCATTCTCCTCAACTTTAGGGGGCAGGGTTGATAATAATACATGTGGAGAAGACACTGGATTCAGATAAGGATTGAATCAGCAGGAAGCCCAGGGTTCCCTGATAGCGCCTTTCCCTCAGGCCCACCCCCTCCCTCTGCCCTTCTCTCACACCCCTGTGCACCATCGAAGTGGGCGCAGTGGTGTGAATAGAGCTATGTTTTCTTTCACTTTCCTGTCTCCTCACTCACACCACCCAGTCTGGCATTTCAAAAGTGCCCATTCTCATCCTTTGTAGTTGTCTCTTTTTATTATAGAGTCCCCGAGGAAGGTAGGAGGGCGTGGGGTGGGTATTTGATGGCATAAAAGCAGTGTCACTTCTAGCCTAGCTCTGAGACTAAATCAGAGCAGAGTCTCGAGGAGCCCATCATGCCAGCAGGAGAATATTTCAAAAAACAAGCATGCCTGTCCCAGCCTTTCACCAGCTCTCCACCTGGAATTCCCATTCCCCCATTCAAAAATCTACAGAATTCTTAAAAGAATTCATATCATTGTAATTATCCAAAGTGGCAGGATGGGTGGAAGGGAAGAAGGAACTAATATCCTTTTATAGTGTATGTTGTGCCAAAAAAAAAGTATCTGATCCTACAGGCTTCCATATACTCTGATCAAAATAATGCTTTGTTTAAAATTACAATAGGATTCAAATTTATGATTATTAGAAACTTAATACTATCTTAGTTGTGATTATTTTCTTTGGAAGCATGCAGTATAATAAAGATTATTTTAAAATTCACGACAGTAGTTTTTCTTTGGAGGCTATAATACATTGTATTATATTACTAGAGATAGATCAAATGATTAATTTATCACTGATGTTATAACTAAAACTAAATGGAAAATGGCATTCAGTGCATATGAATTCACCATATACAAACCTCAAACATTTTCATAGTTATTCATTAAGTGAAGTGCTTTCAACCCCATCACCTCCATCATTATCAACATATTCAATAAAATCTTCATCAATCATCAATATAATATGTCAAATTAGATTCAGCCTCACACATTCCACAGACAGCCACAGACAGTTGTCCTTTTTTCCCATTAACTGTGATTTCTGTTGGCCCCACAGATAGAGGTCGGGTTTTGACATCATCTGCTGCTCCACCAAGTCCTACCTCGGCCCCACTCCCCTCCCACCCAGCACCCCTGCTGCATGCCAGATGCCACGAAGTTTCCTGAAGAGCTCTACCTCTCAAGCCACGGCCCCAGCTCCATTCTTTCACCCCTCATCCAAACACATCTCATTTTTGGCCCAGTAAGCTCAGCTCAGTCAACACCCCTAAGAAAGGAGCTGAGTACATCATCCCCCTGAAGGAATTTACAAAGCGGTGAGGACTGACACCAGAAAGCAGTGGCCCCATGCCTGCTGCCTTTTTGCACCCTTGCGCTGTATACTTAGCACATAGAATCTGACTTAATTGTTCAGTTGCCCATCCGGCCTTCTGAGAGGCTGTGAGTTAGTCCAGGGCAGAAACGAGTTCCATTTGTCCTCTCATTACCAGGGCCCACAGAGGACTTAGTCTGAATTCAGAGCATGTGAGCCCAATGAAGAAATAAAAGCGGCATGACAGGCAGAGGGCCTGAACGTGGATAGCTGGACCGTCATTGAGATTTCCTGCTTCCCTTTTGTCATTCCTCAAAACACGTGCCTAAGAAAATGCTGAAGCCTGCTCCTGAGGGTGTGAGGTGCTGTCACCCTCTGGTCCGCTTGGGGTGGGAATAAGTACACATACTTGGGCGGTGCATCCTAAAACCCAGCTCAGGACAAAAGTGCTGAGGTCCTGAGTTCCTCAGTCCGCAATCACCTAAGGAAGCGCCTTCTGCCTCGCAGAAAAACCAGGTGAGCGACTATCTGGGGAGAGCACCTGGGCTGCAGGGGATGAGCAAACATGTCTGTGCTTCAGCAAGAAGAGGGAAGGAGGCAGACCCGGTGGAGGTGGCAGAGAGGCCCGTGGTGGGCAGCAGGATGGGACAGGGATGGGGGAAGGGCGGGGTTGTGAGAAGGAGAGTCCGCGAGCCCTGTCGGGGGTTCACTGCGATGCAGCAACGTCAGGACGCTCAGCGCTTAGCATCCCAGAGATGCGCGTTGCCTTCTCACACACTCGCTGATTTCCACCCTTCTGATTCGCGAGCAAAGAGGTGCGGCCCTGGAGGGGCGCGTGTGCTTCGCGTGCCTGCAGGGGGCGCTGTTCGCATAGGGTCTGGAGCCGGGCCCGAGGGTGGGGCGCAGGACCCCTGGGGCCTCACCCCCAGTCTGTCCGTGCCTCCCTGGCAGGAGAGGGGGCGGAAGGAATTACAGCGTATCAAGCCGATTTAACTCTGAATCGGTTTCCATTTCCACTGCCCAGATCGTGGCTGGCCGCCGACTGCGTTTAGGGGAAAGGATCTACAATTAAACCAAAAAAAGAGGAGACACTGAACTGAAGCCTCTGTATTGACTCGTATTTTGCTTTGGTTTTATTTTGCCTAGGCTCTCTGACCTGCCGAGATGTCCTGCCAGCACAACCAGCAGCAGTGCCAGGCCCCACCCAAGTGCCCCCCACCCAAGTGCCCCCCAAAGAGCCCAGCACAGTGTCTGCCCCCAGCCTCTGGCTGTGCTCCGAGCTCTGGGGGCTGCTCTGGCCCCAGCTCCGAGGGCCGCTGCTGCCTGAGCCACCACAGGCGTCGCAGGTCCCACTGATGCCGATGCCAGAGCTCTGACTCTTATGACGGGGGCAGTGGTCAGCAGGGCGGAGGCTTTGGCTGTGGCCACGGCTCTGAAGGCTGCTGCTGACCTGAGCCATGAGATTAAGTAAAAACATATTAAAAAAAAATAAAGAAAGTTTTAAAATGACTAGAACAAGCCCTAGCCCGGTGCATCTTCTTGCTGTCCCCTCTCTTTGCTACTCAGATGTTCCTTGAAGACTTTGAGTACTTCCCCAGGGGTTTATCCTGCTGGTCTCAGTGCTTCTCGCTCCTTCTTTATGTTTCTGTGTTGTGAAAAATAAAGCTGTTCTTTCTCATTGCAAGCTTTGTCTAACACGGCCATGTCTTGACCCTCTGCGGCTGCCCAATATCCAGTGCAGGGTCCTATCTCAGAAACAGACATACTCCCCCAAAGTCACAAGACCCTTTTGGGGATTTGTGTATTAGGATGAAGGTGAGGGGGGAGGTCTTTCACAAGGTCAAAGGTGGTGCATGAGCTGGAGTAAACATAGAGCTCTGGAAAGCAAAGGGAATGAGCTGCATGGGCCAGCTCAGATCCTTCAGAGAACACCTTGGAAGCTCAGCCCCAGGTGTGGCACAGAGGGAAAGAGGACGAGGGGCTCCATCCAGACTGGAGCAGGTTCTTGGTCCTCTGGTTCCTCCAGCCCTAATGCTCTGTGGTCTTCATGACCGAGGTCAACAGCAGCCCCCAGACCTGTGGCAGCAAGCGGAGGCTCCAGAATGTTCTGTCAGTAGGGTCAGTGGGATCTGTGGGCCAGAGGTGGCTCAGGTGGCAGCCTCCCCCAGAACTGAGACCACAACAGAAAGAGACTAGCAGCAAACAACCCAAAGGCTACTTGAGGGTCAGGCAGTTAAGAAGGGGCTGACTTTCCTGGCCGGACACCTTAGCTCAGTGACCCCTGGAAGAAATAAAAAAGTAAACCATTACTATCTATATCTATCTATCTAGATAGATAAGGTAGACAGACAGATACCCCCTTGCCCCTCACCATCTTTTCTCAGAGCCTGGTCCTCTGACCCTAAGCCCACACAGTTCAGGTAACCTACAGGCAGCAGGGAAACAGAAAGGGCCCTGGGCAGGGGTGACCTGGCTCAAGGTATTTGCTGATCAACCGCAGAATTTTCTCTCTTCCTACTTCATACTCAGGAAAAAGGAGATGAGACATGGAGAGTGGTGATGACAATGGGTTCTAATCCAAGTGACAGCTCTTTAAACTCTCCAGCCCCTCAGTAGGGAAGTCAACAACTCATCAGTAGATGCTCAGATATTTTTTTGATAGGAGGGAGCCAGGAAGTCCCTATATTGCCCAAATATCTGACCCTGATCGTCAGGACTTTTGAAGGCTAGTTGTCCATAATCTTTTATGCATTCATTCACTCATTCATTCAAACAATATGAATCGAGTACACATTTCAGCAATATGTAGACACAGAGGATTCAAAAATGTATAAAATACAGTTCTCATCCTTGAGACACTAATAGTGTAGCAGACAGACTGAGGAGTAATCCAATTATGAGCTGGAATGATACTGGCTATTACGTAAGTGTATGGGAAGTCCCTGGATCTTAGTCTTTGGGTAGCAATTCCCTGTTGCCCTGACAGGAGTAAGGTGTCCAGACATTGTCACTGGTATCACTTGTGGATGGTAGGTGAGGTCTCTGGCCTGCAAAATGGCTTTTGAGAACAGGGCATGAGCAGATGCTGTCTTGTGGTGGCCCAGTTAAAGTTATTAAGAGGAACTTATGGGACCTAAGAGCCAGGAGTCACTGGGCAGGAGGTTTCCTGGCAGAAGGAGGAAATAAAGCAGCCATTTGAGGGGAAGTGGATCAGAAAGTGAAGCAAGCTAAGATAATGGGGGGAAGAATAGTGTCTGCAGGCTAAGAACATGGGCAGTGAAGTCAGACATGTTCCCCCACCACCACTTTTAAATGCCAAGATAAAGCTAAAGCTAAGAAAACAAAAAATCTAAAAAATAAACAAAAAATGAACCAGAGATGTTCGAATTAAAAGCAGAGCCAGCAATTAACAGTCTGCACCTGTGGTGACATACTTGCTGATCTAAGGACACTGCTTCAGTGTTTATTTGACTGTGCTTTTGATCTAAAAGATAGGAATGGTTCAGACACAAGGATGCTCATGTCATGTTGGCCAGAAAGCTTTAAGGGAAGGGGGAAGTCAGATTGATAATTGATGGGAGTAATATTGAAGTGATTGATAATAGTGGTGACTGAATTCATTTCACTAATGTTTCTGGGAGATATAAATTAGCTGTATAACATTTCCCCATTGCATTTTATTTTAATTTTATAAAATGAAATAATTATGTGACATGCAAATAACTTTTATGTTTTTGACATATTATTATCGCCATAATGGTTCTGGACATTCTAGTTACATGAAGGCTATAGGAGCAGCCACCCTTTTCAAAGCTTGAATATGTTACAATCACGGCCAAGATCGTAGTCTTTTCAAAACACTATGGGAACATTAATTTACACTAGGACTTCAGCAGCAGGTGGAGTGAACTGAAAAAAGGATGAGGATTTGGTCAATACTCTGTTATGATGCTTTTAAAACATGCCTCAAAATTCTTTGACATTCCTCTCAGTGAGAGGTAGGGTCTATGTCCCCTCCCCTTGAATCGAGGCAGGCTTATGACTGCTTTAACTAATAGAATGTGGTAGAAGTGATGCCATGTGACTTCCAAGGCTAGGTCATAAGAGGTCATACAGATTCCACCTGGTCCTCGTATAATACATTCTCTGGGGGATGCCAGGTACCATGAAAGAAGTCTGACTATCCACAGACCATCATGCTAGAGAGGACAGTTATAGGTCCTACCACCAACAACACCAAAAGAGGTCCCAGCTGACATCCGCCATCAACTGCCAAGCAGCTGAGTGAGCCTTCTTGAATGTCCAACCCAGCCAAGCCTTCAGGTGATCACAGCTCCAGTCTATATCTGACTGCAAATACATGAAACAAGAATTGCCCAGCTGAGTCCTTCCTGAATTCCTGACCCACAAAATTATAAGAAAACCAAAGACATCACTAAGTTTTGGGGTGACTTGTTATGCAACAATTGTAACCAGGACATTCACTGACTTTTCTCCCATTAGCAATTTACTTCTTCCCTCTAAAGTTTTTGGCTCTGTTGAGGAGCCAATAGCCACTAGATACCTTTCTTAGCCCTTACAAAATTCACCATATTCATGCCTTAAAGTTTTGCCCAGGCTGGGTTCATCCCATCTACATTGGTGCTCACCACACACAGGTCGTGATAATCCAACTGAATGCAGAGCAAACAAATATAGGTACCAGCCTGGAACGTGCCCACTCAGATGTCTGTTCCAAGTGAGTAGGAACTTTGTCTGTTCTCACTGTATCTCCAGTGCCTAGAACAGCACCTGGCACCCAAGATATACTCAGCAAGTATCTGTAGAATGAATAACTAAAAAATGAATTCATGGCTCCCAGCCTGGCTTGATGCACCCTAATCAAGTCTAGAGAACCATTTTTTCTCCACCCACTGGGACCTCATCTGTCAGGAGCCATTTTCCGTAGGAAGACCATACCTGATTACTGATGTGACTGTCCTGGTGTCTGAAATTTATTCATTGACACTGCTTCTTTCTTTCCTCACCCAGATTGGATTTACTAACGGCAGGACTCCTGGTAGTACTTTGTAATCAGGGGCGTAAATTTGACCTAGAAGCTTCTGAACTTCAAGTCTTGTTCTTTAGTTTTCACATTAAAAGACAAATAATAAAAGCTCCCATTTAAGCAATGGTTTGCATACTTTACATATATTAACATAAACCACTCAAGACTCCAGGTAAAATGTTATTATCCTAAGTAACAGATCTGGGATTTGAGTTCAAGCAATCTGGATTCAGACTCCACTGCTCCCCAGTTGCAGATGCCCAGCAAGAATTTGGTTGATGAAATTCAGTCTCTGTTCACCCTGAAATACACATGGTTTGCATGGATTTTAGGCCAACTCACACAGATTCATCAATGTCGTGTCCTTGAGTGCTCAACGTAGCCGAATGTTGACTTGCAGGTTCCCAAAAGGAACTTGCCCACCCATTTTCTTTTTTTCTGTTATGTATCTTAATTCTGACTTTTAGAGTACTTCCCAGACATGTCTCTGGTGTCCCAGAGCAAGAAGCTTAGCACATCGATTCCAAAGCCTGTCAAATGTAAGCCCCATATCTGTGGCCACTTTCTCTGGTAACCCTTCTCCGTGAGTTGAATGATTTGACTGGAAGAGCAGATTTGGCTTCAACCCCCAGCCAAGTTTCCTTTTCACACTTTTTATAACCGTTTCTTAAAAAATTGTGTGTCCAAGAATATTATTTCCAGTTTGTCACTTTTAAAAACTGAAATAACACAAAACTTATTTCATTCAGTTGAATTCTCAAAGTATCACACAGGTTTTGTTCTCTATCTAAAATTTCATCCTCGAACTCTGATTTCTCTCAAAAATTACAACTTTGTAGCCACAATTACACAATATCTTTTCATCTTTCTGAAATTATTTCAAGAATCACCATGGCTTGAGTTTAACAGACCCTCGTTCTTCTGTGACATTATTTCAAACATCTAGCTATCAAAGTGAAACAGCACTGGTGTGATTCACATGAGAATGATCATTTTGGTTTGGAGTGAATAAATGCCACCCTATTCTGAAGTTCGGGCAGGAGCTTCCCAATTAAGCTCCTAAGGTAACTGTAATATGACCATGCCCCCTTATTGCTGTTGAGCTCGAAAAATAACATTCACCAGCAAAATAA